TTTTTCTTTTAGTGACCTTAAACTTGCACAGATGACCTTGGGTCAAGGTCATGACACTCCCTTACATCATGAGAAATCTTTGTTTGAAATAGGAACTTACCAAGTTTATCCATAAAAAAGATATGGACCAGACACAAATTATCAATTTTTTCTTCCAATGACCTTGAACTTCCCCAAATGACCTTGGGTCAAAGTCATGATACTCCCTTAGGTAATGAGCAATCTTTGTTTGAAATAGGAACCTACCAAGTTCATCCATAGAAAAGATATGAACCGGACACAAATTATGAAAATTTTCTTCCAGTGACCTTGAACTTCCCCAAATGACCTTGGTTCAAGATCATGACTCACCCTTAGGACATGAGCTAATGTTTGTGTGAAATGATAACCTACCATGTTTATCCATAAGAAAGATATGGACCGTACACAAATTAAGAAATTTTTCTTCCTGTGACCTTGAACTTCTACAAATGACCTTGGGTCATGGTCATTACACACCCGTAAGTCATGAGCAATCTTTGTGTGGAGTAATAGATTTAATGTTCCTCTGTAAGAAAGATATGGACCGGACACGTTTGCACAGACAGACGGACAGACAGCAAGACAGACAAGCTGATTTCTATATATTTCCATTTCTAATTTTTTTTCTCTATGATAACTCCTTGAAAGGTAGCGGAGTTTATTTTTTAATAATTCTGCCGGAATGTAAATTAGGCAGGTCGATAGGCCAGGAGCTAAGGAGGCCTAATATGCATGCAAATCTCGTGCGCATCTGTCTCTGTGTCTGACGCTAAGGAGGCCAAATATGCATGTAAATCTCGTGCAGCTGCCATTGTGTTTGACATCAGTGGCCGAGGACTATTGAAATTGGCATGGGAGTCCTCGTGTAATTTAAATCTATGTCTACATTTTTAAAATCTAAATCTACAATTCTATATCACAATGAAATGGAAATATAAGGAATCACTGTCTAGTTAGTATGGTATGCTAGGGACATCAACGATAGTGGGAAACATGGGATAATTTATGCATAACGGGCTTCGCCCGTTATGCAAATTATCGTTATGCAAATTATCCCATGATAATTTTTCCCACTATCATTAATGATAAATATATACCATACTAACTAGACAGTGATTCCTTAAATATCCCCCCAAACTTCGTTTGCGGGGGGGGGGGGGGGGGATAATAAGTTTGAAATCATCAGGAATCTTGTGTAAATTCAATGATGCTGAAAGGAGCCTTAACTTATTAGGAAAAGAGTAGGGTTCAGGTCCAAGAACTTAATTAGCTAAACTTTAATGACTTTTAAAGCTTCATACTTATGACTTTTCATATCAATTTCACAATGATCCGCTTTTAAAGGAGGGGTCTGTTTTTTGTTGGGGGGTGTCTGGACCCCCTTCCACATCTATCAAACAATACACTAGAGATGAAACTGTTCTAGACATATAGTATCATATATGAACTTTACAGCCAAATTAAGTTAGACATATTATTTTTTCTCCACTGAACTTGCATGTACTTGAAAATGTCTAAAGTGTACTAAACATGCTAAAGTAACGGCATATATCAATTACCCAGTACTTATCAAGAACTGCATTCATTTCTTGTGATCAGATGATATCAGAAGTTAATGAATAAACCGTAGCTCTAGTATCATTTCGCCTTGGAAAAATGCAGTATCGTCCAAAGTTGTCATAAACATTCTATTTGCAACCTTACACTTGTCACTCTAATGAATGAAGGTTATGTATACACCACCACACTCTCACAACAGTTGGGATGCTGCGAGATCAAAAAACTTAGCTGATAATCAATATCCTTGTTAATATCCTGATTAAAGTTATTAAGTATTGGCCAGTCGAATACATGCATACCGTTCATGTTTTTCTGAAAGGTTTTGACAAGGACCCAATTAATTCAGTTTATAATCTGTTTGAAGAAGTTTACCTGTCATTGGATTCATTAATATATGAAATGAATTCAGAATATCCTTGATATTATTAGATCATTTTTGACCATTCATTAATAAATAAATATCTATATATAGATTGGGTTTCTTATAGTCTGACTTCGTTATGGTCCGAGTTTGTTATACCAGTAATCCAACATTGTAGTCCAACTTTTCTGTAAATGTGCCAGGTTTATAAATGATTTGATTGATAAATTCAAGTATACAAAACTAAATGAATTACTAGTATAACATTATTTTCCAGTCAGTTGATTTGCCCGCGTGGCGCAGTGATTAGAGCGTCTGCTCTAGAGTTGCAAAGTAAGGAGTTAATCCTTACTTCACGGGTTCAAATCCCACTGTTGGACATGTAGACCAGTCCTTCGGATGAGACCGTATAAACTGAGGCCCTGTGTCGCAGAAGGTGCTGGCACAAAAACGATCCCTCACTGCTCAAAGCTGGGTGCCAACCATAGGACATAACGAATACTATATACCCTCCCACTTTTCCACTTTTCAAGCGGGGGGTGGGGGGGGGGTATAATAAAATTTATAATTCTAACTATGGCCTTACTTTTCAGTGTCAAATTATTTTGCAAACTTGCATTGTTGAATTTGTGGTCTATTTTTAAAACAGAGAGTCTTCTTTACCTCCTAAATAGGAGAGTCTCATTGTATCGCGGTATGGGAAAACATGGAAACTTGTAGATGGTGTGGACCTAAATTTTCCATTTATTAATTTACGATGTAATTCTACATAAAAATAAACAATTGTACAAAGTAAAGATTTTTAAAAGATGAACTTTATTATAATTTTCACTAAGTTATAAATTTCATGGTCTAAATATAGTGGCACTCCATCGAGTCCATCAACAAAAAGAATATAGGCTATGTATCCAAATTTTTGCAACATACTGCGATACAATGAAACCCGCATTATACATAATAGACGAACTATTTTAAAATGTTAAGACACGTATTGTAAGAGTTTACCAAACGGAATGTTTCAGTTACATTCCTTTTTAATCAATGATTATTTCGCTACTATTTCATCATAATTTATACCATTTGAGTCGCCATTTGGGTAAATCTACACATGCTTCCAATAAACGTAAGCCATTATCATAGAGATAATTCGAACTGATTTAACCACATTTCCAAATTCAGGACAAAGGTTGTGCATATATAGGCCTAATAAAAAAAAAAAGCACATTTAAAACCTAGTGTAGATAATTTATTACTACATATGAATTGCAGACAACAACGTTCAAACCAGCATTTTCTTCGGAGCTCCTTCATCAGTCATCAGAAGCTGATTTCGGCATCGAACAAAGCAACGCTAAAATGAATCTTTTATACCATGAAGAATACGATGTACTCATAAAATCACGATATATTTCATACTTTACTGCCTTTAAAATCGCAACACTCTTACCCACCGTTCGTAATAAAAAGTCTACGACCTCAAAAAGATGAAAATAGTTTTCCAAGACAATCCAGGCTATCAGGAGATCTTCTTCTGAGAAACGCTCGTAATGCGTATGCGTGCGTGTTCTGCAGAAAACATAGTCCCGATATTAATATATCTAAATGTTTCAGGAAATTTTTATTTATTATTTCTTTTAATTACATCAGTTTTTTCTTGTTTAAATAACTCAAAAATATTGATTAAAAATGTCAAACATAACAAAAATATTTCTTACACATTTTCAATACATGCCCAAGTTTAAGCCATAGCCCCGCCCTAGGACCGAGATCCTGATCCCGAGGCCATAGATTTCCTAATTTTAGTAGAGGACTCATTGCTCTCAGCATAATCATTAAAACATTTTACCTCATCGAAGTCCATAGTGTGTTAAAAAGAAGTTCTTATAACATATTAGGCATTTTGAACATACACTTCAATATAAACTTTGCCCCTACCTAGAGCCTGAACCCCTGACACTGGGGGCATGAATTTCACAATTTTGGTAGAGGACTCAATGCTGATTACAATCATGCCAACAGTTTGACTGCTTGATGTCCAGGAGCAAAGAAGAAGATTTTTAAAGATTACACTAATTTTAGTTGTTTTGGCCCCACCCCTTAGGCCCCAGGGGGGCAGGGACCATGAAATTCACAATTTTTGTTCCCCTTTACCCATAGATGCTTTGTGCAAAAATTGGTTGAAATTGGTTGAGCGGTTTCAGAGAAGATGAAAATGTTCAAATGTTAACGCACGACGGACGACGCACGACGACGGACAACAACGGATGGCAATAGGTCACCTGAGTTTACTCAGGTGACCTAACAAAATACATACATAAGTGAATTTGCTGCATGTTCATACGACAACATTTACACACATAAACTAATAATTTGCTACAAAGTGTGTGCAAAAGTTAATTTGCACCTAGTCCTGACCAGGTGTAAATTTACTCAACTGTGCAGAATTTGCATATGAGTAAATCAGTTCATACGACAAAAATTGCACGTGAGTAAATTTACTTATGTGTAAAATATACTGAGGTATGCAAATCATGTCGTATGAATGGGGTATAAATTGATAATTAGGGCTTTTCAAAACTGTCATTTGAGCATGGTTTAAATATGAAATTATTTTATCAAAAGTAAAAAAAATCTCTTTAAAATAAAAAAATCAATTTCACACTTCTGTAGCCTCCCTGAGAGGGAGAACAATAGGGACAGTAATTATCAGTAAATGTCAGCACTTGTCTAAGTTTTTCAGCAGGGACAGTAAACGGGTCAGCACTTTTCTAAGTTTACTAGCACCGGCAGTAAAAAGGTCAGTAATTGTCCAAGTCTTTCAGTAAACACAGCACATTGATAGTAATTGTCCAAGTCTTTCAGTAAAAACAGCACATTGTCAGTAATTTTCTAAGTTTGTCAGTAAAAAATGGGAATGCCAGTACGTTTGGACTATTCCTTTTACCTTTAGAACTTAACTGCTCAGAAATCAAAAATTGAATGTTGAATTCTTGTAATTTTTAGGTGGAATAGCTAGTAAATACCATATATTGAGAATGAAATATATATAAGGCTAATATAAGCTCAATATTTATGCCTTTATTTAATATTTGTTCTTCTACATATGCAAACATTTCATTTATTAAGAAGAAAAAAAATACTTTCAAAGCATTATTCTTTTTTGGATTTGAGACAAACTTTGTTCAACCTTCAGGCCTACACACATGTACAAGGGGTCATGAATATAACAAAGTGACAGAGGGATAATTATTCATTATTGACATGCAGAGAAATTTCAGTCATTTCTTACATGTAACGTTTCAAATGTTTGTGCACACAGAAAAGAAAGCATAGTAATAGGCTACCTTAGCAACTGAGGACACCTGACACTTAATGGTCTTATTGCACAATAAACACATAAAATATAAGTCACAAACTTCTTTGTTAGGTGAAAAGGTCAGTTCTTTTTATATTCTATTCTCTCCACTTTGACATCATCTTGAACCAGTTTGTAAACATAGGCAACAACTGTTGACTGCTGGATATCCAGAATTACAAAGGAACAGGTGACACTACTGAAAAAGAATGCAAGATTTGTAGTATACTGGAAATTTTACAGGTAACATCTATGACTACATCTCAAAAACCAGAAGTCTCTGTCGAGACTGTAGCTCTACTGGTTTGTACTTAAAACAATGGATGAGAAAAGAAGCCATCAGACCAAAACTGTAGGAGGAGGGGCATTTTAAAGGAATTTCAGACATTTCTATTTATAGTAACAATGGCAACATCCTTCATCGAAATCAAAAACTGATGCACTAAATTACTAGTATGTATCACAGTGTAATCTACTTGTGTGCCAAGTTATATTGAATCAGACCAAAGCTGTAGAAGGAGTAGCGTTTTAAAGGATATTGCCAAAAAAAAAAAAAATTTTTAGCAACCATGGCAACACCGTTCATCCAAATAAGAAACCAATGCACTATTTTATGTATCTTAGTGTAGTCTGTCTACTTGTGTGGCAAGTTATATTCAAATCAGATCAAAATTCTAAGAGGAGTAGAGTTTAAAGGAATTTCACAGAAAATTCTATTTTTAGTAACCATGGCAACACTACTAATTGCAATTAAAAACCGATGCACTTTTTTATGTAGTCTACTTGTGTGCCAAGTTATATTGAAATCAGACCAAAATTGTAGGAGGAGTAGCATTTTGAAAAATTGTTCACAGACAGACGGACAGACAGACAGACAGACGGACGGACGACGGACACCTTACTATCGCATAAGCTCTTCTGGAGCTAAAAACTAATGCACTATTTTATGTATCTTAGTGTAGTCTACTTGTGTGCCAAGTTATATTGAAATCAGACCAAAACTGTAGGAGGAGTAGGGTTTAAAGGAATTTCACAGAAATTTCTATTTTTAGTAACCATGGCAACACTACTGACTGAAATTAAAAACCGATGCACTATTTCATGTATCTTAGTGTAGGTTACTTGTTTGCCAAGTTATATTGAAATCAGACCAAACCTGTAGGAGGAGTAGCGTTTTAAAAGAATTTCACAGAAAATTCTATTTTTAGTAACCATGGCAACACTACTAATTGCAATTAAAAACCGATGCACTTTTTTATGTAGTCTACTTGTGTGCCAAGTTATATTGAAATCAGACCAAAATTGTAGGAGGAGTAGCATTTTGAAGAATTGTTTACAGACAGACGGACAGACAGACAGACAGACGGACGGACGACGGACACCTTACTATCGCATAAGCAAAATGGAGCTAAAAACTAATGCACTATTTTATGTATCTTAGTGTAGTCTACTTGTGTGCCAAGTTATATTGAAATCAGACCAAAACTGTAGGAGGAGTAGGGTTTAAAGGAATTTCACAGAAATTTCTATTTTTAGTAACAATGGCAACACTACTGACTGAAATTAAAAACCGATGCACTATTTCATGTATCTTAGTGTAGGTTACTTGTGTGCCAAGTTATATTGAAATCAGACCAAACCTGTAGGAGGAGTAGCGTTTTAAAGGAATTTCACAGAAATTTCTAGTTTTAGTAACCATGGCAACAATACTGACTGAAATTAAAAACCGATGAACTATTTCATGTATCTTGGTGTAGTCTACTTGTTTGCCAAGTTATACTGAAATCAGACCAAAACTGTAGAAGGAGTAGCATTTTAAAGGAATTTCACAGAAATTTCTATTTTTATTAACCCTGGCAACATCGTTCATCGAAATCAAAATCCGATGCACTATTTTATGTATCTTAGTGTAATCTACTTGTGTGCCAAGTAAAATTGAAATCAGACAAAAACTGTAGAAGGAGTAGCATTTTTAATGAATTTCACAGAAAATTCTATTTTTAGTAACCATGGCAACAGCTTTCATCGAAATCAAAAACCGATGCACTATTTCATGTATCGTAGTGTAGTCTACTTATGTGCCAAGTTATATTAAAATCAGATCAAAACAGGAGAAGGAGTAGCGTTTTAAAGGAATTTCACAGAAAATTCTATTCTTAGTAACCATGGCAACACCGTTCATTGAAATCGAAATCCGATGCACTATTTTATGTGTCCTAGTGTAGTCTACTTGTGTGCCAAGTTATATTAAAATCAGACCAAAACTGTTGGAGGAGTAGCGTTTTGAAAAATTGTTTACAGACAGACGGACAGACAGACAGCTAGACAGACGGATGGACGACGGACACCTTACTATCGCATAAGCTCTTCTGGCCTGGTCTCTGACCAGTAGAGCTAAAAACCAATGCACTATTTTATGTATCTTAGTGTAGTCTACTTGTGTGCTAAGTTATATTGAAATCAGACCAAAACTGTAGGAGGAGAAGCGTTTTAAAGGAATTTCACAGAAAATTCTATTTTTAGTAACCATGGCAACACTGTTCATCGAAATCAAAAACCGATGCACTATTTCATGTATCTTAGTGTAGTCTACTTGTGTACCAAGTTACATTGAAATCAGACCAAAACTGTAGGAGGAGTAGCATTTTAAAGGAATTTCACAGAAATTTCTATTTTTAGTAACCACGGCAACACCGTTCATCGAAATCAGAAATCCATGCACTGTTTTTTGTTTCTTGGTGTAATCTACTTGTGTGCCAAGTTATACTGAAATCAGAACAAAACTGTAGGAGGAGTAGCGTTTTGAAAAATTGTTTACAGACAGCTAGACAGACGGACGACGGACACCTTACTATTGCATAAACTCTTCTGGTCTCTGACCAGTAGAGCTAACAAGAGGCCCATGGGCCACATTGCTCATCTGAGTAGCTTAGACTATGATGTTCTTTACCTGATTTCCCCCTTGTATTACCTATCGTGACCCTACCCTACCCACAGGTCATAATTTGGACAATTTAAAATCTACACTACCCCAGGATTCTTTCGCATAAGTTTCATTTTTTTCTGGACCAGTAGTTCCTGAGAAGAAGATTTCTAAAGATTTTTCCTCTATAGTTCGGTGTAAAACTTGGATTCCAAATTGTGGCCCCGCCCTACCCCCGGGGGGTCATGATTTGAACAATTTAGAGTCTACACTTCCAAAGGATGCTTCCACATAAGTTTCAGCTTTTTCCGCCAAGTAGTTTTTTTTTCTCTTAAATCTATACTTTTATGAAAAACTTGGGTTCCTTATTGTGGCCCGCCCTATCCACCGGGGTCATGATTTGAAGATTTTATAACCTTCACTACCCCAGGATCTTCCACATAAGTTTCAACTTTTTTGGCACAGTGTTTCTTGAGAACAAGATTAAAAAAAAAATTCCTATATATTTCTATGTAAAACTTTGATTCCATATTGTGGCCCCTTCCAACCCCCGGGGGGTCATGATTGAACAATTTAGAATCTACACTACCTCATTATGCTATAACATAAGTTTCAGCTTTTCTGGACCAGTGGTTCTTGAGAAGAAGATTTTTAAAGATTTTCCTATATATTTCTATGTGAAACTTTGATTCCCTATTGTAGCCCCGCCCAATCCCCGGGGGTCATGATTTGAACAATTTAGAATCTACACTACCCCTGGATGCTTCCACATACGTTTCCACATAAGCTTTTCTGGACCAGTAGTTCTGGAGAAGAAGATTTTTTACACATGCATGTAATGACCTCAACCTATTTTTGTATTTTCTTAATTATCTCCCCTTGAAAGGGGACTTAGTCTTTTTTTTTAACAATTTAAATTCCCCTTCACCCAAGGATGCTTTGTACCAAATTTGGTTAAAATTGGCCCAGTGGTTCTTGAGAAGTCAAAAATGTGAAAAGTTAAGACAGACAGATGGATGACAGACAAATTGTGATCAGAAAAGCTCACTTAACCTTCAGCACAGGAGAGCTAACAACATCATGATTTCCAAGTAATAATTATCAAGGTCTAAAAGCAATCTCACCTTGTAAACCCTTTTCTTACTGAGAAAATAAAAACATGACATGCCATACAGGTCCATATTTTATTGACAACTCTTGAAAATCCATTTTGTGTTTTAGTATATATAAAGCTGACTTGTTATACTCCCACTTGAAAAGTAGGAGGGTGTATAGTGATTGGAATGTCTGTCTGTCTTATTTATTAGACCCCTACAAGTGAAACCAGAGGAGACTATAAGTTTCCTCTGCATCTGTCCATCCGTCCGTCTAGCTGTCCCCATGTCTGTCTGTCTAGCTGTTCTACTCGGGTTTTCCGCACTTTTTTTCTAAGCGCTTGCAGATATTGAGCTGAATTTTAGTATGTGAGTGTATCTTGATGAGTTATAGATCATATTATACATATATATGGATATATTGGAATGTCGTTTTGCTTCATTGATTTTTAGTTCACCTGAGCTGAAGGCTCAAGTGAGGTTTTCTGATCAAAATTTGTCCATTGTCTTTTGTCGTCATTGTTGTCGTTGAGAGAAAAAGATGTTGAAAAAATGGGTTGAATTTTCATCTGTATGTGGATTTTTTTTAGGTTAAAGGCATGCACAACCTCAAAAATTATAACATCAAGCAGTTTTACCTTGGTCATAACTTTTGCGTATTATAAAATGACAGTCTAAAGAACAAGAGGCCCATGGGCCACATCGCTCACCTGAATAACTTTGGTCATTCTGTTATTTAACAAATTTCCCACTTTGAAATACCTATTTTGACCTTGCTCAATCCCAAACATTCATGATTCGAACAATTTAGAATCTAAATTACCTTAAGATGCTTCCACATGAGTTTCAGCTGGCCCAGTGGTTCTTGAGAAGAAGATTTTAAAAAAATTTTCCTATATATTTCTATGTTAAACTTTGATTCTATATTGTGGCCCCACCCTAGTAACCCCTGACTCTGGGGCCATGAAATTTATAATTTTGGAAGAGGCAGCCTTATTCCACACATCTATGTACTTGGTTAGTTTATTTAATGCCAAGGAGTAGAGAAGATTTTTAAGGAAATCATGCATATTCACGATATAATCTGTCTAGCCCCGTCCTAGCACTAGAACTCTGACCCAGGGGCCATGAATTTCACAATTTTAGTAGAGGACTCAATGCTGATTACAATCATGCTAACAA